GTGGGCACAGTGCAACGAGTGTAGTCCACTCGTTGCAAATCAGCAAATCACAATATAAAATAAAATAATTCAACTAACTACATCATGCAAATCATGCAAATCCTTGGATAGCTGTGAATTATTAGTTGACAAAGTAACAAGTCGTAAAATCAATTCAATATCACAGAAAATCATAGAAAAATTGTAAAAATAAAAGAAATTCAAGAAACAGAACGAAAATTTCAAATTAGATTCAATAGCTGAAATAAAAGTAAATATTGTTAAGCTGTAACGACAAATTTTGAATTAATTTCGATAACCACCTGAAACGCCGAAAATTTTCATTAGTAGAACCTCGAATTCGTTTAAAATCGATATCCTATTCCTATCCCAAGATCAAAATCTCGATTTCCCTAAACTCTCAAACTAATTTCGCGATTTTCGTTTCGAAGGGGAATATTTAAAGACCGATAATAATTTATTAATAAATATCGATACTTGGAATTTACTGAAATTAATTTCAAAATAAAAATTTCATGTAGAATATGCAAAGTCTGATAGTACTTGCCCATAAGCATTAATAAATGCAGAACCAATTTAGTTTAATTAAAAAGAAAAGAAAAATTCAAAGTCTAATAGTAACTTTCCAAGTATCGATAATTCAGAATGCTAGTGTATGTTAAGTTTGAGAAGGCAGAGTGTGTATAGAGAGGACATAGGCTAGCTAGTAGCCCCCGACCACTCTATTCACATCTCAGAACCTTTAAGACTAATTTGCCGCGAAGTGTCTATGGCCCAGTATAAAGGGTGAATGATTTCGCGGGACATCGGCGGGTCCTTATATACCCTCGGTACCCTCTCCCCAAAGTCATTAGCAAAATCGTCGGTTAGTTCAGGCGGGAAACCTTGTTTTCGCGGGAAACGGACTACTTTTCGCGGGAGATCGATCACTTTTCGCGGGAAACTGACTAGTTTTCGCGGGAGATCCACTACTTTTCGCGGGAATCGATTATTTTTCGCGGGAGATCCACTATTTTTCGCGGTAAATTTTTATTGTTTTGTTATAATACTACAATACCGTATGATTGATTAATTTTCACAATTTTTATTATAAATTTATACTTCCAACAATATTTTACAACACTACATATTATCGTTTATACGTTTCTGCAACTTTCTTCAATAAATAACTACGTTTTAATGATCTTATTACCTCCTCGTGGTGAGACGAAGTTTCTAAGGATTGAAAATTAGGTTGACCAGTGGTCATAGATAAAAATAGGCATAGTAAAGGTAGAATTATTTTGTTGGATAATTCTTTTTAGAAGAATCAAACATTTATTCAAATCGTGAAATGAATTATATTACACATTTTCTCTATTCACACTGAATTTAAAGATTATAACGATTAAAAATCAAGTTGACCTGTGGTCATTTATCAAGAATAATCATAATAAAGCTGAAATTATTGTGTTAAATAATTTTTTTAATACGAATTAGGAATTTATTCAACGTTTGCTTGTTAGAATAGAACGATAAATTTAGTGTAAATATAGAAAACGTATAATATAATTTATTTCATGGTATTGTAACAAGCAAACGTTGAATAAATTCCTAATTCGTATTAAAAAAATTATTTAACACAATAATTTCAGCTTTATTATGATTATTCTTGATAAATGACCACAGGTCAACTTGATTTTTAATCGTTATAATCTTTAAATTCAGTGTGAATAGAGAAAATGTGTAATATAATTTATTTCATGGTATTGTAACAAGCAAACGTTGAATACATTTTTCATTCGTGTAAGAAGAATTATTTAACACGATAAATTTAGCTGTACTATGGTTATTTTTAATCTACGACCACAGGTCAACCTGATTTTTAATCCCTACGAAATTAATTTAACCACGAGTAAGTAACGAGAACGCTAAAACCTATGTTTCCATTGAAGAATATTGTAAAAACGTATAAATTGTTATATGCAATGTTATAACAAATTGTCGGAAGTATAAATTTTTAATAAAATTGTGAAAATTGATAAATTATACCGTGTTACGATATCGGAAATCTCCCGCGAAAATCTCCCGCGAAAATTTCCCGCCTGACCTAACCGACGATTTTGCTAATGACTTTGGGGAGAGGGTACCGCAGGTATATAAGGACCCGCCGATGTCCCGCGAAATCATTTACCCTTTATACTGGGCCCTAGACACTTCGCGGCGTATTTTGACCTGAAGGTTCTGAGATGTGAATAGAGTGGTCGGGGGCTACTAGCTAGTCTATGTCCACCCTGTACACACTCAGCCTTCTTGTAACACTTGTATACATTAGAATCAATTAGAATTTCTATTACTAATTATTAAACAAATTTTAACAATTACCGGCACTCGCTAGGCACGTAATATCAGACTTTAAATACTCGACTTCGAACTTCGGTTTAGTCATAATTCTATTAATGTTATAATAACGTATAATTTATTAATTTTCACAATTTTATTATTAATTTATACTTCCAAAAATTTGTTAAAACATTACATATTATTATTTATACATTTTTGCAAGTTTCTTTGACAAATAAGTACGTTTCAACGATCTTATTACTTTCTCGTTGTGAAATCAAGTTCGGAGGATTAAAAATCAGGTTGACCCTTGGTCGTAAATTTAAAATAGCCATAGTGAAGGTGAAATTATTATTTTAAATAAATGTTTCTATACGAATTAAGAATCTATTCAACGTTTGTTTGTTGCAATACCGTGAAATAAATTGTATTATATATTTTCTCAGTTTAGACTGAATTTAAAGTTCGTAAGGATTAGAAATCAGGTTGACCTGTGGTCGTAGATTAAAAATAGCCATAGTGAAGGTAAAATTATTACGTTAAATAATTGTTTTTATACGAATTAAATATTGATTCAACGTTTATTTGTTGCAATACCGTGAAATAAATTGTATTATATATTTTTTCTGTTTACACTAAATTTAAAGTTCTGTTTACATGTTATAACAATTAGAATGTAGACGTTTTGCCGTTTCACGGTTTTTCCTCTGTTAATTATGTGTTTATAAATCATTTCAAACTAAAGCAGCACCATGCCCACCCTTAATTAAACCGTCTCAGTAGTTTACCGTAATTAATAATCTATTTTCGGAATTTATACGAGAATTTTTGAATTTTAGTAAATACTAGAGTCAGTGCATCGCGTATTGAAATAATAGCTTATACAGATAATCTTTTGAAATTACTCTTAATTAGGGAAAATCTTGAATCTTGTATGGAAGATGAAGATTTTCAGGAAATATTTATTTTTCAACAATGAATTTTTGTTTTATCGATTAATAACGTACGAAATGATTTTTGGAAAATTTTCTTCGTTTGAACGTTCGTTTAAGGTTCGACTATGATTATCAAATCTCTCGAAACACCGTAGAATGTTCAATTTTAAAAGTAACTTCTTCAATTTTTGGATAATCTGGGTAACGTGTTAGTGTTGACGATACACTTTCGAGTATAGACGTTAAAGTTCATAGAGTGGTCGGGGGCTACTAGGTAGCCTATGTCCACCCTGTACACACTCAGCCTTCTTGTAACACTTGTATACATTAGAATCAATTAGAATTTCAATACAATAGACTGAATAACAATTCATTTTAACTAATACCTATTAGAAATTTTCCTTTTAAAACAAATATAAATCATTTTACCAATTACTGGTACTTGCTAGACATTTAATATCAGACTTTAAATATTCTCCTTTCGGTTCTTTTAAATACAATCAAATAATTTCTTCAATTATCGATACTGACTTGGAATACTCCGCTTCGAATAAAATATTTCGAAATTATTTTGAAGGTTTAGGTAAATAAACATTTGAATTTTAGTCATCGTTGTTCTTCAGACTTGTCGAATAGGATATTGAAGTGACTTTGAGAGGTTGCTTTTTCGTTACAGCATAACAATCAATATGTACTTTTCTTCCAGCAATTGAAATTAATTTGAAATTTTTCATATATTTTCTCTGATATTGAATTTATTTTATGACTTGCTATTTTGTTTACTAATAATTTACCATCCAACGAATTTGCATGAATTGTATGTTAAGTAGTTAGTTGATTTATTATTGTATATTGTGAGCTGATTTGGAACGAGTGCACTATGCCCATCCGAAATTAAACCGTCTCAGTAGTTTACCGTAATTAATAATCTATTTTCGGAATTTATACGAGAATTTTTGAATTTTAGTAAACACTAGAGTCAGTGCATCGCGTATTGAAATAATAGCTTCATCCCTAGTTCGTTTATTATTGAATATTTTTACGCCTTTAACTTATGCTTCTCCCCAATTCTCGTCGCGTATTTTATTCAAATTTTCTTATATTCTAGAATCTGTCACTTATATGTTGAATCCAAACTTACTGACTCTTGTAGAGAATTTACTGTACTGAGGATTGATTTCTAAAGTGAATTTCCGTGGACAAGGAATTGTTTCTTGTATACTTCATTATGCAATAAAAGTTTCTAATATTTACTTAAACTTATTGATAACATCTACGTATATATCATATAGAGTTATACTTATTTGCAGGTGCTTCAGACAAACGAAGCAGAAATTCCAAAGTCAATAGAAGAGCAAATAGATGCGATATTAAAAGAAGCTAAAAAAAAACAAACATACTATCTTAGTCAAAAAGATCATCATAAACCATTATACTTGAAAAATTATTTTATAAGTCATAGTAATATAGATTATTATGATAATTCTTACCTCGAGAAAGCAAAAAAACGTATTCCTGCGAGATTGCGAAAAGTATTCAAGTATAGTTGTGAAGTTTTATACAATTTTTATATTCTTTTTTGTTTTGTATGTAATAATAATTTTCATTTCAATAATGTCGAATTGCAGCTTTGATGAACGGTTAATGGAATTAGAATTAGAAATTATTGACACCTATAGACAGTTTCTCATAAGGCCACGTGAAGAGTATCCAATTTTAATCATACGGGCACCTATTCCATGGCATCAATCTAAACTGATGGCAAATCATTTTATGCAGTATAATTTATTTATTGGAAACGAAATATTGAGAAATATTCAAGATTTATATTTTCTTAAGTAAGTCTTACAAATTAAATTTATGGGTTCATCTTTTCAAGGGAACATGCTGGTCATATTTAAAATTAGTTATAATGCTTATCGAATTAAATGTGCATTTTCGACACTATGATGACATGATATTTTTTACTCCCGTATCATCTTTCTTTCGGGGCATCTTGTATATTATGCAAATTTTTGGACTTGGTAGAATCACCTTTTGAATTTTCTACCAACTGTTACCAAATACATACCCAGTTAGTCGTCTAAAACCCCTACAATACTTATATATTTTGTTGAATATTTATAACTAAAATATACATTCTTATTTACCACGGATGTAACATAGATTATACATTCCTAATACAGTCCATTGAACATTTGCAACTTTGAAAGGCTTCGCTGGGTTCGTTAACCAGTTCGAAGCTCACGTTATCCTATCGTCTCGAAATATAATCGTCGATATATATGATTATGATTGCACTATTCGATTCTATCGTTGAGTTGAGAATTGGCTATTCATTAACTGATAAGATTTACGGAAATGCATGAAATCTGAAAATCAATGCACATTGTAACGGTTTAATTTTCAGATATCAAGACATGATGATAATTAAGATTGAAGATGTAGGAAAGATTCCTATTTCAGCCTTTGAATTAGAACCTAAAATAAATTCACTATGTAATAAGGCTACGAATTTGCTTGTTAAACATTGGTTGGCCGATGTTGCTGAACTTTTTTTAGAGAAAAAGTACGCTTGGTCATGCTTTATTCAAAAACATTATAATGCATCTACAGTATTGATCGAGAAATACTTTAGAAGTGTAAATACTCTCTTATCTAAACAATTACGAATAATGATCATGAAAACGCTGAATCATATTAGAGATTTTTTTATGGAATACAGCGAAGGGAATTATTTTGAGAGTGATTATAAGGATTTACTGTTTTTCAAGTAAGTAATTTGTTATATTAAATTTACCTCTACGTTCCACGCATATAATGTTGATTATAGTTACATTTTAGAACTCCTTTTATAAGTGTAACTGTGGAACCAGAAATTGGTACAGTAAATTTACATTGCAAACCGAGTATATTGGAAGTACGTTCAATAATCTCGCAGTGTTTTGATAAAATTATTAAAGTTGGAAAAGTAATTCCAACAATTGAGACTATTTTATTTGCTGAACTGGAGAAACAGGAGTTTTTGCTTTCTGTGTCACGATACGAAGAATCGGTAACAAAGATTCATAAATTTTTATATTTGATTAAGTTACTGTTAAGCATTCCAATTAATGACGATACAAATTAAACGTCATATATTTTTATTAATTAAATCGTAAGTACTGAATTGTCTTGTTCACTTGTACGTATACAGAGGGCGTTCGGCTACTGCTGGGAGGAAATTTAAGGGGTGATTCTAAAAGTCGAAATAAGACGAAAATCAAGAATAAAAAAATTGCGTTTGATCTTTCGTTTTTTAGTTATTAACGTTGAAAAATATCCCTTTAAGAAATAGTTTCTTTTTTCCTTGAATTTCTTCTATGACCTCAACAGCTAATTGTACGTGTCATAAAATGTGAGTTTCCAAAGGGCTTCAAGACCGGGGCCCGGTAGTGCCTAAAACTCTATAAGAGTCAGTCTTAGCAAATCATCCGAAAGGAGAACACCACAGGATTGTTACTTACTCGAGTCGGCGTGGCCTACTGTTCAAATATCACTTCGTGCTCGAGTTTGTCAAACCGTTTCACATGGAGTAACTTTGAGATCGGTCCGGCTATATAGCATTTAAATGATCTTACACCTTTAGCAACCTCTTGTGATGCGAATTCTTCGTGTGAATGTTGCTATTATTCTATTTATTCCTACTTAGGTCTATAATTCAATACGTGATCTTACTTGCTACTATTTACAATTCTATATACAATCCTGTCGCGTTAAAGTTTGGGCCGATTGGACGATGCTTGTAAATATGTAGTCAGATTACAGTTGATAGACCATGTTCGGCTTGTGAACAAGGCGATCGGGAACGGTCGGTACTTCCTGTTGACGCGGGAAAAATGATCGGGAGCGTTCGTCAGCGTTCGGCAGCGTTCGGCAGCGTTCGGCAGCGTTCGGCAGCGTTCGGCAGCGTTCGTCCAATTACAGTCAGTTATTCCCGTTGGTCTTTGAAATGAGATGTTCGGGAGCGTTCGGTAATGCTCGTCTAGTGTGGTCAAAGATTTCCGACGCCCGCGAGGGTGATGGTCGGTAGCGCTCGGTAATATTCGTATAGTTGCTGTCGGCAACTCCCATCGGCCGCGCGAATGAGATAGTAGTGTTCGATAATTCTCGGTTAATAGTCTATCAGCGCGGTAGCAGATCGTTGGCGTTCGAACGCAGAGTTTCGTAATAGTCAGCAAGGATTGTTGTTTCTTAGAGATTGTTGATGCAGGATATACATAGGATACGCTACATACTGTCAGCGCCCAGCCCCGTCGTAGTGGGCGAACAAGAATCGAAATAGAACGAGGCCCGGTCAACGTTCAGCCACCTCGTACCGTCGAGGTTAAGCAGACTTTTTTCAGGCATGACCACCCGCGTTGTTTTCGGGCAGTGTTGTGTGCAAGTGACATCGGTACTCATTAAAGTGTAGTGACATGTGTTGGTGTATTCATGAGGCGTTTCAAAATATGAAACCTATGAAAGAATTTAAATATTAGCTGTATTTTCAAGTAAAGTTCTGTATACAATTGCAAGATATATATTTGTATTTGTATATCTGTTTGCTACGTCCAGACTTTTTCTCATCCCCGCGAAGCTAATAGCCTGAAATATAATATTTCCGATATTCCGTGACCAATGAAAAAACGTCTTCAGTTAACCCCGCCTTTTCTGCATCTTTCTGGGTGCATAAAATTAAAAAATTTGTCAGTTGTTTTCGTCCTCTGACATTACATCTTTCTTACGTGCGTTCCTTTTTCAACATCATTATGGATACTCCATCTTCGTCGAAACGTCAAGTCACAAACTCAGCTATGTATTTCAAGGAGTCGTGGGAAGAAAATTATTTCTTCACTGAACATTATGGTGCAGTGGTGTGTTTAATATGCCGTAAACAACTAAACCAAATGAAGAAATTTAACTTACAAAGACATTATAAAAGCTATCACGAGATGCATCATCTATCGTTGACCAGTGATCAGCGGAAAGAAGAAGTCCAAAGAATGAAAAGGAAGTTTTTGGAAGATGCTGAGCGGGAATATTTACTTCACGAAGTAAGTTGTTTTAATTTCGGTAGTAAATAAATAAGTTATTTCCGGATAGTACGAAGCAGGCTGTTAAATGATTACTCTCTTTAAAGGAAGAGGAAGCACTAAACAACGAAGGTGCTCTTATACCCAGCTATAAAATAGCTTTACACATAGGGAGGGCATCGAAGCCATTCTCTGATGGCGAATTCATCAAGACTTGTATACTATCAAGCGTTGAACAACTTTGTCCCATCGAAGTGCCGAAATTTGAGGCGCTCAGCCTTTCACGAGCCACAGTGGGCAGACGGATACAAGAAATGGCGAATAACGTCAAGGAGCAACTAGCTGCGGCAGCGCGCAATTTTATTGCTTATTCACTCGCGATACATGAAAGTACAGATGTAACAGGTATACCACAAATAGCTATTTTTATTCGCGGCGTCGACTTATCAATGAATGTTATCGAGGAATTGTTAGACTTCTGCGACATGAAAACTACTGCTACAGGGGATGATATTCTTTCATGCGTGGAGGAGGCGGTCGAACATAATGACCTACATTGGCATAATCTCGTATCAATTGCTACTGATGGAGCACCATCAATGGTGGGCCGAAATGTTGGTTTTCTAGGCCGCCTCCAAAAAAAAGTTCAAAATCTAACAATTCCTCATACAGTAATTGCAGTGCACTGTGTACTTCATAAAGAAAATTTATGCGCAAGAAGCGGTCGACTAGAGGCAGTTATGTCGGTTGTAGCACGTACGATAAATTTTATTCAAAATCACGGATTAAAGCGAAAACAATTTAGAACATTTTTAGTGGAACTAGATAACGAATACGGCGAACTATCGTATCATACGGAACTGCGTTGGTTCAGCCGTGGAAAAGCAGTAGATAAATTTTTCCATCTTCGTGAGGAAATACGGATATTTATGGATAAGGCGGGACATTCAGTGCCAGAATTAGACGATAACAATTGGACGAAAGATTTAGCTTTTTTATCAGACATTATTGATCATTTAAACACTCTGAATACCACTTTACAAGGTAAGCACAAAACAGTTATAGATTTATTCGATACAATTCGGTCCTTTAAGATGAAACTTAAGTTTTGGATAACACGTTTAGAATCTGGCAATACGGATCACTTTCCTAAGTTAAGATCTCTATCTACCAGCGACAGTAATCACGAATGCTATGTAAATATACTCAGAAGCCTGTATGAAGAATTTTCGAACCGTTTTGAAGATCTAGCATCATTGGAGACCGATTTCAGCATAATTTCCTCACCATTTTTGGTAGATCTTGAGACTGTCCCCGCTGACTTACAGCTAGAATTTATCGATTTAAGATGCGACAGAGCATTGAAGCTGTATTTTGAACAAACAAGAAACATATTAGAATTCTACAAAGTTCTGCCACAGGAGAAGTATCCGCGTTTGCACAGAAGTGCTGCAAGAATTTTAGCCATGTTTGGTTCGACATATTCGTGTGAACAGTTGTTTTCTGTTTTAAAACGAACAAAATCAGTGAATAGAAATTCCTTAGGTGATTATAATACGAAATGTGCAGTAGTATTAAATATGTGCGAAGCATTTGTACCCGACATAGTGCAACTGATTGAATGTAAAAGGCAACTGAAACGGCAATAGAAACAGCAGTGCATGCAATTAATGTCGACGCCGCTAAAATTATATCATAATATACCGATTATTTTTCTTACAGTATTTTACACTACCATAATCATGTTATCTTCATATGATATTTTAGTGTTGTAGTACTTTACATTTTTACTATTAGTAGTAGTGGTAGTATAAGCATTATTATTATGTTGTTAACAAAATGCCTATATGTTTACATTCGTACGTTCATAAAACGTACGGTCCATAAAACCTACATTTCGGCCCACCATTGATGGTACTCCATCAGTAGCAAGCAATGTATAAGATTGTGCCGATGTAGGTTCGATCGCTTCCTTCACCCAGTGTACCTGTTACATCTGCTAATGTATTTAACAGCTACAATTGTTACGTTTGTTATGTTTGTATACAGAGTGTTCCGGAAATCGTGGTACAACCGAGGAGGTGATTCCTCATGTAAAAATAAGTGGAAAATATAGAAAAGAATTTTTTCGTATAGGGCTCCGTTTTCGAGAAAATCGAATTTGAATATTGGTTAACACGTTAAGCGACAAAGCCTGTTTTGTCTTCCTTTCCGTTTAGCCCGCGATATCCGATTTCACCGATATGTTGGTGGCCGGAGGTTGCGATAAGACTGCATGTGTTTTAATAATACTCGTTAAAATTTTTTTTTGGTTACAAGTAATATTTAGGTACATTCTTTTATGATCTTCAAATTATTTAAAATTTATCAATAGAAGAATATAATTTTTTAAATTGTATATCGTCAGTCAACTGACGCGACCCGAACGAAAAGAATAGTGTCAGTCACCGGTAACTGACATAGCGCTTATCGTGTTAAGTGCACACGTACTTAATGAATATTCAAACTCAATTTTCTCGAAAACCGAGCCCTATACGAAAAAATTTTATTCTGTACTTTCGACTTAGTTTTACGCGATGAATTACCTCCTTTTCGGTTACACCACGATTTCCGGAACATTCTGTATATCGTCATTGTTATATTAATTAACATATATACGAATTGTAATTGTGACATGAGTATGATTGAATTTTGTCAAGTCATGCTCTCATGATAAATGAATGTCGAAAGAACTCACTGATTAAAAGAGTACCAGAATTGTGATCTAATGTAAATATATTTGCACGACTATAGTACATACAACTTTACACGACTGTATTTTTCAATTCGAATTCTTAATGAGTTCTTTATGTTGCATGTTTGACTTCTTGATGAGTTCTATGCGTTATGCATTCTGTGTATGTGCGTGGTTCAAGTTATCAACGAGATTTGTCTGTTCGCTCTGTGGTTTTCCTTAACTTAAATTGTGTTGTGCTGTGATTGGTCAGCGACTGTTTGATGTACGTAGGTGAGTGCGTCTTTTTTTTTTCTCTTGCGGAGAGGTATCAATGGGGGTGCGTGATGTGAAAGTTTGTCCTCCAGGTGGTTCCGGCTGTCCAAAAATCCTGGTTCCTGTCTGTTGTCAGGTACAGTAGTGCACACATAAGCGTCCGCAGTCGGGGCTTAAGTGGGGAGGTGACTTCAGCGAATTTAACTAAAGAAAAGAGAGGAGATGTGTCTGAGCGGGATACCGATATATCAAGCGTTAGCTGTTCACATTCAGGAGTCGATATCGAATTGTATACCAAAAAATCTGCGTGCAACCTAACCTTGGCAAGTTACACTCTTGTCTCGGCTTATGATAGTCGAGTAGTTGCAGGTTACGCGGATAATAAACGCTCAACAGTAACTGTCATACGTACTTCTGCACGCGTTGTATGCAATGTAATGTATTTAAAAAGACTGGCAACAAAAAGTATTTTCTACTGTGTGGGCTATAAACTGTTGAATAAATTCTGTATTTTTATATATCGTCAAATTTTTTCTTCTATCGTCTACGTGCTTTCCGTTATTTTATATCTTCTATTCCAAAGCCGCTCAGGCAGCTGTTTCGGGTTGCTCCGAGCAGAGCCGAGAGCAGTAGTCGGAGCAAATGACGTCGACAGTCGTAAATGGAGTATATACCTCCCAAAGATACCTATCTTTGAAGCATAGTTCTGACTCGTGGGCCAGGTGATCACTATTACTCTGTAGAGTTGGAAAGAATGCTAGCGGGACGGCACAGGGGCAAGCGGGATATATGTATCACCTAATCCTGATTCTTGGTAGCATACGCAGATATACAGGTTTTGCACTCCAAATTCACCCTTTTGCAAATCAAATTCGCCCTTCTCTTGAATGCTTTCAGGAAAAATATATAAGTTTATAATATTGTATCGTAGTCCATTACGTATTTTAGGAATTTTACTTTTATTTAGCTTCACATTTATTAAATAAATGTTACAGGTTCTAAAGATAATCAACGATGTGCTAGATGTTGTCAGTGTTCATGTTACGGGTCCAGAAATTTACTTAAAATGTTACCAGGATTTGTTGTACATTATAGATGGCCAAGCTAAACGAAATTTGGACAATTTTTTTATGATCGAACCAATGCCATTTCTACGTGAATTTGAACTGAAGATAAGAGGTTACGACGATCTTAGGAAAGAGATTTTTATGTTTCGCAGCAAGGTAAACGTGTAGAACTAACAAAGATATATTTTGTAACGGTGTATCAAGTTTCTGTGTATTTTATTTTAGATTCCCCTTAACATGATAGAAATCGACTGTACAATTGTAAATGATACCATAAGGCAAATTCTTTACGACCTTCGCACTGAACTTTGTGATTTCTTTGCGAACGAGTTACGATCCAATAATCGGGATTTGTGTTCGAATTTTGATAAAATAGCAGAAACTATATCAAAAATGCCGGAAAAAACGCAGAATGTTGTTGAGTTATACAATTACCTGTGCGAAAGTCGGGACTCGACGATGTTTAACCTGAAAAGAAGATTGGCACGTTCTATAGAATTGATTTTATTTCTGTTTGATTATCAACCACACACCGACGATGACATTCAGTTGAATTCTCGCACCATAACATGGCCAAAGGAAATGGAGAGCGTTATGGATTTGGCGAACACCAGATTGAACATGAGAAAAGAATATCTCGAAGAAGTGTTACGTTTAAGAAGGGACAATTTTGAACAGAAAATACAAAACATGCAGTTGGCAATTGCTCAATTTACGAAAAAGGATCCGCCTGTGTTAACTATGGACGAAATGGAGAATGCGACTGAAGAAATAGAACATCTTGCTAAAGGGATGGAGGATATCAGGAAAGAAGTTGAGGAGATAAACGAAGAAGAGACTCTATTAGATATGGAATTAAGCCCATATTTAGCAGTGCCTACGATGTCTGCGACAGTCGGTACACTTGACACTCTTTGGCATACCGTATTAGATTTTCATAAAAATTACGACAGGTGGTACAACGGGCCATTTTTGGGTCTCGACGCCGAGGAAATTAAAGACGAGACCGACAATATATGGCGAACGTTATACAAATTATCACGTGTAATTACTGACATTCCTGGCGCACGAAGAATTGCCGAGATAGTTCGTGGAAAGGTAGAGAAATTCAAACAATTTATTCCATTGTTGCAAATGATATGTACTCCTGGATTAGAAAACCGACATTGGGAGCAAATTAGCCAAGCGGTAAATGTACACGTAATGCCAACAGATACGAGTAATCTTTCAGACATGGTAGAACTGGGATTATTAGTTCATATAAGCAAACTCGAAGAAATATCGTCCGCTGCCATTAAAGAACACGCACTCCAGCAAAATTTGACAAAGATGAAGGAGGAATGGTCGGATATCGAATTTAAATATACGCCGTACCGCGAAACTGGTGTTTATATTTTAACTGCCGTAGATGATATTCAATTATTGCTGGATGATCACATCTTGAAAGCTCAGACCATGAGGAGTTCCCCTTTTATAAAGGCCTTCGAACACGAAATGCAAGCTTGGGAGAATAAATTAATGTTAATGCAGGATATTATCGATCAGTGGTTACTCTGTCAAGCAACGTGGATGTACTTGGAACCGATATTCAGCAGTGAAGATATCATGCGTCAAATGCCAACAGAAGCGAAGAATTTTCGAAGGATGGATAAAATTTGGCGTAACGTCATGTCGTACGCAGTTAAACATAGCCGCGTACTCGATGCCACGGCCATGTTGAATATGTTGCAAGAGCTAACACTGTGTAACACGTTGTTGGAAGAAATACAGAAAGGTTTGAACGATTATCTGGAGAAGAAACGTTTGTTTTTTCCAAGATTTTTCTTCTTGTCAAATGACGAACTATTGGAGATACTGTCCGAAACGAAAGATCCCCAGAGGGTGCAGCCTCACTTGAAGAAATGTTTCGAAGGTATTAATAAGTTACGATTCACCAGAGACGAAGAAATTATTGGAATGCTATCGGACGAAGAAGAATACGTTCCTCTCAGTGGGAAAATTTATCCGGCCGATGCGAAAGGTATGGTCGAAAGATGGTTGTCCCAAGTGGAACAACTTATGGTAGTGTCTCTCCGGGACATTGCCGAGGAAAGCATCGTGGCGTATTTTAATAATCCTCGAGAATCGTGGATATTTTCTTGGCCTGGTCAAATTGTTATCTGTTGCAGTCAAGTACATTGGACCAGTGAAGTTTGTGAATCGTTCGAAGATAAGTCTACCGGGGATTATTTGCAGAAATGCAACAATCAAATCGAACAAACTGTTACTCTGGTAAGGGGTAAACTAGATCCGGGTGAAAGAATCACTATAAATGCTTTGATCGTGATAGATGTTCATGCACGAGATGTAGTACGTATGCTTGTCGACAAACAAGTTGATAACGTTATGGATTTTAATTGGATATCACAACTGAAGTATTATTGGTTGGACGATAAAATCATTGTGACAATTATTACGACTAGCGTGGCGTATGCTTTCGAGTACCTTGGAAATACATTAAGACTCGTAATAACGCCATTGACCGATCGATGTTACAGAACTCTGATGAGCGCGTTAAAATTAAATCTCGGAGGATCACCGGAGGGACCTGCCGGAACTGGTAAAACAGAAACAGCCAAAGATCTTGCGAAGGCCGTTGCTAAGCAGTGTGTGGTTTTTAACTGTTCCGATGGGCTTGATTATAAAGCGATGGGCAAATTTTTCAAGGGACTTGCGCAATCCGGAGCATGGGCCTGTTTCGATGAATTTAACAGGATAGAATTGGAAGTACTTTCGGTAATTGCCCAGCAAATCTTGTCCATTCAAATGGCCATAAGCTTGCAAATGGAAAAATTCATGTTCGAAGGCACGGAAATAAAGTTAAATCCTACTTGTTACGTTATCATAACAATGAATCCTGGTTACGCTGGACGCCAGGAGCTTCCTGATAATTTAAAAGTTCGTTTCCGTACGGTGGCAATGATGGTGCCAGATTATGCCATGATAGGTGAAATTACATTGTACTCGTTCGGTTTTATAGACGCTAAGAATCTTGCGGAGAAAATAGTTCATACGTACAAATTGTGCTCCGAGCAGTTGAGCTCTCAGAACCATTACGATTATGGTATGCGAGCCGTGAAGACTGTGCTCACAGCTGCTGGAAACTTAAAATTGAAATATCCGATGCAAAACGAGTTTATTTTAGTTCTTCGAGCAATTATCGACGTGAATCTTCCGAAATTCTTGGCCCAAGATATTCCATTGTTTAATGGAATTTACACCGACCTTTTCCCTGGTATCAGTTTACCACAACCGGATCGCGGCGATCTGATAGATTTACTGAAGATTATTTTAGAAAAACGGAACCTCCAAGCTACACATTGGTATTTGGAGAAGATCATTCAAATTTACGAGATGATACTGGTGCGGCATGGCTTAATGGTTGTAGGCAATACGTTAAGTGGGAAAACCCAAGCGTATCAAAGTTTAGCCGAAGCTTTGGGCGACTTGGCTGGTAAAAGACGTGCTGCTATGAGAGAATTTCAAACAGTTTACAAGATAATTAACCCAAAAGCTATTACTTTGGATCAACTGTATGGCAGTTTCGATCCGGTATCGCACGAATGGAGCGACGGTGTTTTGGCCAATATTTTTCGGGAGTTTGCACAGTCTTTCTCTATAGATCGAAAATGGATCGTTTTTGATGGGCCAGTTGATGCAGTTTGGATCGAAAGTATGAACACTGTACTTGACGATAATAAGAAACTTTGTTTGATGTCAGGAGAAATTATTCAAATGTCGAACAAAATGAATATGATGTTTGAGCCAGCTGATTTAGAACATGCTTCACCGGCTACTGTCAGCAGATGCGGAATGATTTACATGGAACCATCTCAGCTCGGTTGGAATGCATTATTCGACTCCTACAAGAAATATCTTAAAAATAAACTGCTCGTCGAGCAATATGAGCTGATTGTAGAACTCATCGAATGGCTAATAGAGCCGATTTTCTTTTTCATAAAACATTATTGCAAAACATTCATAGAAGTTCCAGAACTTCATATGTTTTTGGTAAGTGGATGCGTATGTATTGTATTATACATTGCGTATGAGCCATTCCACGTTAAATCGCACAGAATAGCGACCATAGACATCGATTTTTTTCAAACTCACAAGATTTGTCGATACCCTTGAGAAACTAAAGCGTGTAAAACTTTAGCTTCCTATCTCGAACGGTTTTGGAAAATTAGACGAAATCAGCCAACATGTCAGCACTTAAACCGCAATATTTCCACTTCGTTGAAAGATAATGCATTCCTCTTAGGCTCATTTTAAAGATAAAGAAACGCTTTTTTAGAATGTGTACATAAAACTTTATTTATTATCAGCAAACATAACAATAATCGCTGTTAAATTTTCAACTGCTGATTTGACGCTGTTCCCACGCATAGAACAATCTGAAAAAAATACCATTAGATTGCTTGAACTTTCCACTGTAAAATAAGCTTCTCAAAAAGATGGAGCTATTTCGGGAACATGGGGAAAAAAAAGTTTACCATGATATCGCTGAAACACTTCTGGAATTTGTATATTTACACAATAGCGAATATTGTCCAGGAAAATAATGTACTATCACTCACAGATCTGTACCCACAGTCTAAACAAACAAAAATAAAACTTATAGGTTGCACATCGCTGCCTGGAAGTTCTGTGAGTTCATTCCACATTTATAGTCATTTTGCTAATTGTTCCTGACGAGGAAAAAAATCGATGACAATGACCGCATTTCCTTTCAAATTTATTGTCCTCTCCCATTGAATGGAATATATACATTGTATATTGTCCAGGGTGAATCACCTAAGATTAGAATCTAAAATATTTCCGTTACTTGTAACGAATATAGCAGAGGCGCTTAACTTCTTGCTCACGAGCAAATTTCCCCTCCCGAGGTTCCCCCACTATGCGACTGAGATGGTCTCGCTCGAGTGTGGCGCAGTGGGAGGAGGACGCGAGGAGTCCTCCCACCACAACTCCAGCGACTGCCGTTGGTTTACGTTACACACTCTGCATTATAATTATTTATACCAAATTTTTGTTAATTTATACATATATGTATATACATACATATATATACGACAATTTTCCTGGGTGCTTTTAAAAGTGATTAGTATTAAGTCTACTGTATTTCCCTTTTTAAGCAACGAAAATCTTTTAAGTTCTGATTTTAGGTGACTAATATTTATGGAAATACAAATACAAAAAATAATTTCGAATAAATTAAACGCAGTTCTACGATATTATCTCTAATGAGATTATTAATTTTTGCACCAGTGCTTGCTTTCCTCGCGATATAACTCTTTCATTTCTGAAACTGTTGCCCGTTTAATTAACTTTTCTCGAAGATCCAATGTTATTATATCGACAATACTAAGTAGTAGTATTGCATCGACAAAGCAAGCTTCATGTGAAAAGATATTTACGATGAAATCACGATTTAATACATGTTATTATGCTTAATAATTTTAGTCTTTTACAAGACTTTTCACAACAATGCTGGATGAAGAAACACAAGTTAGCACAGTTTGGCTTCAGTGTACTTTGTTATTTAGCATTATTTGGGGAATGTGTTCAACATTAGTAAGCGACAGTAGAAAAACTATTGATGTTTATTTAAGAAAATTATTGCTCGGGGATGTGGATGAAAATCCCAAACCGAAAGGATTTAAGTTGACGAAGCAACAACTTTTTCCTGATAAAGGGACAGTGTACGATTGGATATACGATAAAAGAAATAATGGATGTTGGATACCGTGGATGGACACAACGTTACAGGTAATTAACGAACGAAAAGAAAGACCATTTCAAGATATTTTTTCTTACCTTTCTGTATGACGTGTATGTACCTGTACGTTCTAAAGTAACATTCACTTTAAAATCTGTAATTGTCAAACAAATCGACTACATTACTTCGAGGGTTGTGTATTGATAGTTTTTGAAGCCATACACCAATTATGAGTCGTAAAATAATTTTACTTATATACATAGAGTACACATACACACACATAAAAGAATATTTCGTAAACTTAATGTCACATTGAGTTAAAAATTAACATTGTTATTGTCACTCATTTTTTTTTTTTGCATAATTTTTACTTATAGTATATTTTGAAGTCACGTGACTGTTCCGTAATTTTTTGTTGCTTACTTGCGAGTGACAGTAACTTTCGACGTTCATTAAGATTTTTAGATTTGAAAAAGTTAGAAGCAGCAGGAAATATACTACTTAGATGCTACTTGACATAGAAATTACCATTGATTAACATAAAACATTATCAGCCAGTTAGAATTCTCATATACAATTTGATATGTGTAAGTAAACACATTTACTTTCGACCTTTCACAATTGTTATGAAAATCTTCTTGAAGTAGGATCATTCTTATTTAACACTAGTTTTTCAGCGGAGCGTAATTTTTCGAATGAATAATTCGTCAATTTTTACTGTAACACTTTGAGCACTGTAAATTTAACAATAATTCAAGCCCAATTCGCATGTTTATATTTTAGATGTCCTTATTACCGGATATGAAGTCCAATGAATTAATTGTACCGACAACTGAAGTAGTGATTCAGTATTTTTTTATGACAAATCTTCTTCACAAAGCGATACCTATTTTATTTGTTGGTCCAACTGGTACCGGCAAGTCTGAGATTGTTTTGAATTACGTGCAATTTCTACCGAGGGACCAGTACACGGAGAATGTTGTAAACTTCAGTGCACGTACCACTGCTGCTCAAACTCAAGAAATCATAATGTCGAAGGTAGATCGCAGGAGAAAAGGTGTATACGGTCCACCAATGGGAAAGAAATGTTTATTATTTGTGGACGATCTGAGTATGCCGCAGAAAGAAATATACGGGGCACAACCTCCGATAGAACTGATTCGTCAATGGGTAGACCATGGACACTGGTTCGATTTGAAAGACACAACGGTATTAAATCTAGTGGATATTTTTCTAATTTGTGCTATGCTACCACCCGGAGGTGGTTCAAATGTAGTCACGACTAGATTAACTAGGCACATGCACGTAATTGGCATCGACTTTTTTGAAGAAGCGACAATGACGAAAATTTTCACTTCGATCCTCGACACGCACTTCGCTAAAGGATTCGCTACAGAAGTGTCAAGACTGGGAAAGATGATCGTAAATGCTACCATGGACATATTTCTTGGCGCGATAAAAACTTTTCTACCTATTCCGGCGAAAAGTCATTATACTTTCAATTTACGCGATTTTAGCCGAGTTATCAAGGGTATACTTTTAGTACCGGCTTCTAGAATGAAGGATCCAGATAAATTGATTAGACTTTGGATTCACGAGGTGTATAGAGTTTTTCACGATAGACTGGTGGATGAGAGCGATCGAGAAACATTGTTCGACATGGTTTCACATACTTGTTACGATCAGTTACGACAACCGGTGGAGAAGGTGCTTGTCAGATTGTTGAAAGAAGAAGAGAGAGAAATAAAAAGTTCTCATATACGTGATCTCTACTTTGGTACTTATATCGAGCCTGACGCTGATCCGAAGGTATACGACGAAGTAATTGATTTCGATGATTTGCAAGAGAAAATGGATTACTATCTAACCGAATACAATATGCTTTCAAAGACACCAATGTCTTTGGTTTTATTCAGATATGCCGTTGAACATATATCTCGTGTTTCGCGAATATTGCAGCAAGAAAATGGCCATGCTCTTCTAATAGGAATAGGTGGATCGGGTAGAAGTTCTTGTACCAAGTTAGCAACTAGCATGTGCGAATATATGATGTATCAAATTGAAATTACCACGTCTTACGGTTCTTCGGAATGGCGAGAAGACCTGAAAAACTTGTTGTTACGCGTAGGATGCGACGGAAAGCCGACCGTTTTTCTCTTCGGCGATCATCAAATAAAAAATGAATCGTTCGTCGAAGATATAAACATGGTTTTAAATACTGCCGACGTGCCGAATTTGTACAACAGCGAGGAGAAAGCTGAAATCTTGGATAAAATGATGAACGTGATGTACAGCACCGGCGGAAGGAAAGCTGAGACTTCCCCTATGATTCTTTACAACGTGTACCTGAAGAGGATAATAAAAAGTCTTCATTGGGTTCTAGCGATGTCTCCTATAGGTGACAAATTTCGAAACCGTTTAAGAATGTTCCCTTCCTTGATAAACTGCTGCACCATCGATTGGTACACCGTTTGGCCTGAGGATGCTCTGGAAAGTGTAGCGAGGATGTCGTTGCAAAATGTGAACATCTCGGCGGATTTGCGAGAGAAGTGTGTTCGTATTTCGAAGCAATTCCATACAAGTATCGCTGTAGCCAGTGAAGATTATTATAACACGCAAGGTAGAAAATACTACATAACTCCGACGAGTTTCTTGGAGCTTATCAAGTCATTCTGCAAGTTGTACAAGCAGAAAATTGAAGAAATTACTGCGCAACAGATGCGTTACGAAAAGGGATTAGAAAAGTTGGATTTTGCAGCCGGGCAAATTGCGGTGATGAAAGAAGAGCTGCAAGCCCTGCAGCCAAAACTGTTGGCGCAATCTGAATTAAGTAACAAACTTATGGTTAGGATAGAACAAGACACGATCAATATCGAAGCAAGGAAAGAGATTGTGGGTGCCGAAGAGGCCCTAGCAAACGAGGCAGCTGCTGCTGCACAAGCTATAAAAGATGATTGCGAAAGCGACTTAGCCGAAGCTACACCCGCGTTAGAAGCTGCCTTGGCTGCGTTGGACACTTTGAAACCCGCCGACATCAGCATCGTTCGATCAATGAAAAGTCCACCGGCCGGTGTGAAGCTGGTAATGGAAGCTGTTTGCGTGTTGAAGGGTGTGAAACCTGAGAAAGTTCAGGATCCAGCAACCGGCCAGGCTGTAGAAGATTATTGGCCAGCTTCTATAAGGTTGCTCGGTGATATGAAATTTCTGGAGAGTTTGAAGAATTTCGACAAAGACAACATACCGGCAGCATATATGAAAAGAATTCGCGAAAAATTCATCAACGATAGAAGCTTCCAACCTGAAGCTATCAAGAAGGTTTCCACTGCCTGCGAGGGTCTTTGTAAATGGGTACGTGCTCTCGAAGTGTACGATCGAGTGATCAAAGTCGTCGCTCCGAAACAGGCGATGCTCGCGGAAGCTGAGGCTGCCCTTGCAAAACAAATGGAAGCGTTAAACGCTAAAAGAGCCCTTCTTCAAGAAGTTACTCAGAAGTTGCAATCGTTGAACGACGAATTTGCGGAATGCATGAGGGTGAAAAAGGAGCTCGAGGATCAGATTGATTATTGCAAGAAGAAATTGGAAAGAGCTGAAAAGCTGCTGGGTGGTTTAAGCGGTGAAAAGAATAGATGGCATGAAACAGCCACTACATTGGGCGCGAGTCTCAATAACGTTATCGGAGACGTTTTATTGTCTTCGGGTATAGTTGCTTATTTCGGTGCTTTCACCGTTGAGTACAGGAACAAGTTGATCGCGGAATGGCACGCGTCCTGTTTGAAACTGGCGATTCCATGTAGGAAAATGTTCAATCTGATCGATATTTTAGGGAGGCAAGTGGAAATTCGAGCATGGATCATTCATGGTTTACCGGCGGACAATTTTTCAGTGGAAAACGGCATAATTGTGAAAAACGCGGATCGATGGCCGCTCATGATCGATCCACAAAATACAGCGAATAAGTGGATTAAAAATATGGAGAAAGAAAATAATTTAGTGGTGATCAAGTTCACCGATCCAAATTACGTGAAAGTGGTGGAAACTTCTATACAACTCGGAAGCCCTGTTTTACTTGAGAATATCTTAGAGGAGATGGACGCGATACTGGAGCCTGTGCTCCTTAAAAATATTTACAAAGAACGTGGTGTTTTATACATGAAATTCGGGGACAACGTTATCGAGTATAATACCGATTTTCGATTTTATGTTACGACACGTCTGAGAAATCCGCATTATCTACCGGAAATAGTGGTGAAAGTGACACTTTTAAACTTCATGATTACCCCTCAAGGCCTTGAGGATCAGTTGCTAGGTATCGCTGTTGCTAAAGAGCTACCCGTTCTTGAGGAGCGTAAGAATCAATTAATAGTGGAAGGCGCGAATAATAAAAGAATGCTGCAGGAGCTGGAGGATAAAATTTTACAAGTTTTATCTGCTTCGGAGGGCAACATTCTGGAAGATGAAACGGCTATTACGATATTATCCACTTCGAAAGTATTGTCGGAAGATATCGAAGCTAAGCAGGAGATAGCTGTTAAAACAGCAATAGAAATTGACAATGCTCGTAACGGATATAAACCTGTCTCGGCGCATGGTTCGATGCTTTTCTTTTGTATTTCCGACCTGGCGAACATTGATCCCATGTATCAATATTCCTTACCGTGGTTCATTCATCTTTACGAAATGTCCATAGCTAGCAGTGAACCGAGTGAAAATTTAACGAACCGAATAAACAACTTGAACACGTACTTCACAGCCAGTATTTACAGGAACGTGTGCCGCTCTCTATTCGAAAAAGACAAATTGATATTCTCCTTTGTCTTGTGCATCGGTTTAGAACGCGCTGCTGAAGAAGTGGACGAAAATCTTTGGTCATTTTTATTAACAGGTGACGTGGCTCTGGATAATCCTTACCCTAATCCAGACCCATCGTGGCTAACTGATAAATCTTGGAACGCGGTGGTTCAAGCTACGAATTTGTCTGTGCTTGAGAAATTCAGAGGATCCTTCGAGAAACAAACGTCACAGTGGAAAGCTTACTATGACCTGACTAATCCACAAGAGGAACCTTTTCCACAGCCATTTGAAAATGAGAGCGAAAGCCTAAGAAAATTGGTGATACTTAAATGCGTCAGACCAGATAAACTTGTTGCTGCTGTGCGAATGTTCGTTATATATAACATGGGACAATCGTTCGTAGAGCCTCCGCCATTTGATCTTCAAGCATGTTACAATGATTCTAATAACATTACTCCACTTATTTTTATTCTCTCCCCTGGATCTGATCCAATGGCAGGATTAATCAGATTTTCAGACGATTACGGAGTATCGAAAGAGAATCTCATGACTATATCGTTAGGGCAAGGCCAAGGTCCGATAGCAGCAAATATGATAGATAAAGGGATAAAAAGCGGAGAATGGGTGGTTCTTCAAAATTGTCATTTGGCAATTTCTTGGATGAAAGAGTTAGACAGAATTTGCAGCGAAGTTATCATACCAGAGAATACGCACCTGAAGTTTCGATTATGGCTAACCAGTTATCCATCTAAGGATTTCCCAGTTTCTATTCTGCAAAACGGAGTTAAAATGACCAATGAACCACCGAAAAGCTTGAAGAATAATTTACTGAGAAGTTACCTAACTGATCCGATATCAGATGTGAAATTCTTTAATAACTGTGTTAAAATCATGGAATGGAGAAACCTCCTTTTCGCTTTGTGCTTTTTTCATGCAGTTGTTCAAGAAAGGCGTAATTTCGGGCCATTGGGTTGGAATATTCCGTATGAATTCAACGAATCAGATCTACGCATTAGCATTTTACAGTTACAGGTAAGATTTATATGATACATTAACAAATATATGCTTGTGATTCTCGTCGATCTTTGTCGAAACACTACAACTAACGCAAAGAATATATGAAATGGCGAATAGCGTAACTACCATGCTATTTAAATATCTATTTCGATTATTGTGAACAAAAATTAATTTTTTACGATAAAATTCCATTATTTACAGTAATATCTATTATCTAGTGTTCATGAAAATTAATACTAAAAATAGATTCATGCAACGAAAACATTCCCTTCCGAGGATCGCACGTGTAAACGGTATCTTATTCGTAATTAAACCAGTAAATTAATGTTCACAGAATGTATAACGTATTGTAAACATTTTTAAAGAAAATTTTATTGTTATGAAATAAGATGTTTATTTCTTTTTTTGCCTTTTATGTAGTATTGCTATTTTTTTCAGCTTTTTCTAAACGATTATGAGGAAGTACCTTTTGATGCACTTCTTTATTTAACGGGTGAATGTAATTATGGCGGCCGTGTAACCGATGACAAGGATAGACGTTTGTTGAATTCATTATTGCAGCAATTTTACAATTACGAAGTTATTACCAACCCGCAGTAAGTTGGCTGAATAAATCCAGATGTTCAAGAAATATAATATACCAATAATCTGTTGTTAATTTATATTTGCAAGATATTACGATAGATATTTTATCGCGTGCGTGTGTAACACACCCATGCTCGGTTAAATTTGATGAACCCATCCTTGCTATTCCCTCACATCATTTATTATCAGTGCCTCGAGCTCAGCAAACCTAAACGTATTAAGAAGGAAAGTTAGATACAGCGAGAGTAAGCGATAGTTGGTACTTGAAAGAATACCACCTGCGTTGCAGTGAATCATCCAATATCAAAAATTTCAATTTCTATCATTTGCATCCTATTTTTATGAAAATAGTACCAATGCATTGGTAATGTTCTTCCGATGAAAATGAGTCGAAACACGACGTAAATTGGATTAGTTTTAACAGTAATCAATTTTGAAAGCACTCTTTAAAATTCGTTTTCGAAAGCCGGGGTATTTAAATTGATGACTGGTATAGGTGATATGATTGTCGTCATGTTTGTACTCATTTTCATCGGGAGAACCTCGCCAATTCATTGCTACCATTTTTATAAAAATTAGAGAAATTGAAATTTTCGTCATTGGATTATTCATTACAACGCAGACGACGTTCCTGAGTAGGGACGCCTAAATTCGTGGTGTGGTAAAAACTGATGTAGTGATTTACGACCACTACTAGACTTCGGTCCTTACCGCAAGTCTCTGTTCTCGAGAATTTGAATAAGCTGACCTTTTTCAAATTTAACCGAACACCAGTGTATAGACTTTTTGAGTTGTATCCGTTTGATATACTGATACACGCGGCATGTTCGGTAATTTATTAAACATTATCGAAATCTCTGAATACAGTTTTTATTACTAGGCTTAATTTTTTATCGAAAATTCGTTTTTAATACAGGTATTGTTTTTCACCAAGTTGTGTATACCGCCTACCAGAAAGTACAGATTATGAAGGATGTATAAAGTATATTCGCAACTTGCCAATGAGCCAATATCCTGAAGTTTATGGTTTACACGAGAATGCAAATATAACAAAAGATAATCAGGAATCATCGCAGTTACTTAAGGGCACTCTATTGACCCAGGTGCAAATGACCGGTGCAGGAGCTGAAGGAGATATCAACGAAATGGTTTTTAATTTATGCGTCGACATTTTATCCAAAGTACCGCCACCGTTTGATACTTTAGAAGTTTCTAAGAAATATCCAGTACTCTATATGAATAGCATGAATACCGTTCTTCGTCAGGAACTAATTAGGTTTAATAACCTAGTTATTGTCATTAAAAGAACTTTAGCAGATGTACAAAAGGCCATTAAAGGATTGGTTTTAATGTCTTCTGAATTAGAAGAAGTTTTCTTCAGAATGAGTATTGGAAATGTGCCTGTTACTTGGAGTAAAAAGTCGTATCCTTCTTTGAAACCGCTAGGAAGTTACGTCAATGACTTATTAGACAGGCTGCAATTTTTCCAAGACTGGATAGACCATGATACGCCAACCGTCTTTTGGATATCGGGATTCTATTTCACGCAATCGTTTCTTACTGGCGTTTTACAGAACTATGCTCGCAAGCATAAGATTCCCATTGATAAATTAGATTTTGAATTTGAAGTAACCTCGTTTGAAACGAACGCAGATACTGTGCCATCCTATGGGGTTTACATAAAGGTAAGTCTTTTAATTGTGTCAATGTTCCTGATATCTACTGTCAGGCTCGATACAGATTATCAATCCGCTCTCGGTTCGATCACACTTTGCTTTCCATATCACTACTAACCCGCGTAACTTCGCCCTCAGCCAGAGTTGTGCAGAATTACAATTGAATTACTATTCCATAAATTATAATTACAAAGTAATTCAATTACATTAATTTGAATTATACTGTAATTCATAATTTAGATTTTTTATTTAATTAAATTACCATGTTATTCGTAATCGTAAGTGAAATACAATTACATGGTACGGTGTAATTGAATTACGAAAGTATGAGGTAATAAAATATGGAGAAACACATGGAAATTGCAATCAGGAAAAATTATTAGCAGTGATGGATATGGTATTGTTTATAAATTCATATTATCCGAATAGAAATAATCTTCTGTGTTATATTTTTTTCAAAATTCAGACATACATTTAAAAAATGAAATGAATGTATAATATTAACACTTTGGACTCCTTTGTCGAGTGCGACTCGACATCAGTTTTATTCACAGGTATGAATGAAGTAATTTTTAAATTGCCAGTTTAAATATGTATTATATTTTGCAATATTTTCTTTACCTCGATGAGCAAACAGGTACACACATACAATCTGACCCTTGATGCTATTTTCAATATAATTAGTAAAAAAAATTGTTTAAATTGGTTCCTATCAACCAAACGTCTTTTGAAGTGCATTTCAAATAAAATTCTTAAAATAATAGGGAGTTATTGAAAAAAAGATTTGGAGTTCAAAGGGTTAAAGGAAAGAACAGTGGCAATCACGTAATACGTCTCATTAAGATCTCATGTTGGCAACTCATTAACGGAAGGTACGCCGTATAGACAGGAAAGGTAAAAATTAACATTTATCTCACATCTTCAGAGTCTTTGAACTGTAATTTGATTACATTGAATTACAAGTAAATTGTATTTCAATTACAATGATGTTAAAGTAATTGGCAATTGAAATAATTGAATTATGTAAATTAAATTACATCGTAGTTGAAATATTATGTAATTTAAGTACAGTGTAATCAATTACGTAATTAAATTCAATTGGCACAACTCTGCCCTCAGTTCTGCCCGTCTAAAGGCCTGCTGAATGGCACTGGTCTAAGGGGTAAGAGGAGTTGTCATCACCCTCTTGAGCTGATATTTATGAATGCTATTCGATTAGGGATAATCTGAGAAGAAGCGAGACAGAGAATCTTACACTGATCCAGGGAACATTGTACATATACATTCGAAACAGTTATTATTTATCTAAAAATATTCTTTTTTAATTTTAGGGTCTCTTTTTAGAAGGAGCAAGATGGAGCAGAGAGATAAAAGAGATCGATGAATCTAAACCTAAGATAATGTTTGATCTTCTCCCTGTAATGTGGCTTAAACCCGGTGTAAAAGCTGAGTTTGTTATTGAATTCGTCTATCACTGTCCCGTTTACAAGACAAGTGAAAGACGTGGTGTTTTGGCTACCACCGGTCATTCTTCTAATTTTGTAATGTATATTTTGCTTAAAACGCATGTTGATGAAAATCACTGGATCAGGAGGGGAGTGGCTGCCTTGTGTCAACTAGATGATTAATGTGTAAAAGAAATATTATTTGCTATGTACGATCTACTTTTTATATACATTTGCTGCAACAGTGTTAAATCTAAATACTTATGTATCCAAGTTTTTAATAAAACATTATAAAAGGAGCATTATAGAATTCAACTCAAAGGACCACTGAAAGAAACATTGTTCAATTTGTGAAAGACACAGACATTTGATCTTATATATCAACTGAAGATTTGCCGCCATTATAAATTAGTGCTGGTGTCATACAATCATGACCCTCCTTCCTCTCTCCTCATAATTACTGTTTCTATCGAGTGTTTGGCAGACATTGCCAATATGTACATCTCGTTTGTCTTACCATTTCGTTAAAGTAATACCCGAATAATTAATTCGCCAGCAGCATGTGCAACAATTGTTTATTCTTTTTACCTTTTGATATGGCAACTGTGGCTACTTATATTTCTGGCTGGCAAACTGAGACTCTGCGCACTATGCCAACGCGCTCTCTACAGGGTGTCCCGCAACTCCTCGAACACCCAGAAATGGGGGGTTGCTGGGGTTTGTTCACGACCACGACCGAGCGCGGTCGAGAGCCAACGCTCTCGTGAATGAGCGCGCGCTCTGATTGGCCAGTGTTTTTCGTTAATAATTCAAAAACGAAACTTCAACCAACATTTTGGTAAAGGAAAAAGTTGTTCAGAGTCACCCCAGCAACCCCCCATTTCCGAGTGTTCGAGGAGTTACAGGACACCCTGTATATTTTTCCTCGTTCTTACTCCTGTAGTTCAGTATGGAGACCCAGATCTCAAATCATGGGACGATGGCTAGCCTTGAACTGATTCACTGCCCGCAAATACTTTGTTTGCCAACTTACAATTTCAGATTAATAATTTTGACTTGCGTTCACGTCCACGTACTTTCTCTTCAATATTTTTTTTTCAGATCCCCGAAGTCAAATCTGGTCATCAGCAGCTAAAACACATACACACAAAAATCCAGACCATACAGAACAGGTTTTTTATCAAATAATCCTCAACAGGCACAGAGATTACCTTACCTTAACTGCTTCATGAAGAGGCAAACATAGATAATGTACGCATACTTATGTATCTCAAAAGTTCTAGCAAGATAAGGAGGTGAAAGTGTTCTTAAACCAAATTGGTCTTACGATGGACCATTCGATAGTTTGCCGAAACATTTGACACCAAGTTTCAAGCCTCTATCTCGACCAGGGGGGTACTTACAGAGAAAATTCGGATTATCAGTTTTTGCTCGATTTTCCCTATTTAGTGGTACCTATGCAAAAATATTGAAAGATCTGACATATTGCTATTTCCGAAGGCATGTGTTAGGAAATTTTTTCCGATTTTTTCGTTGCAAATCCGCAAAAGCGCAAAGAAATGCGCATTTCTTTTGAAATATTAGAGCGACTTTTTTTATATATTTTTAGTAGCAGCATCTTGACATAACTATTATCCTGAAACTTTTTCAGATTTTTGCCAAGGTGTGCCGTAGTTAGAAAAATTAAAAACCAATTTGTTCGATGTATTATACTCATAAAGGTAAACTTCATTTACAAATGCGTTGCTGGCGCAAACTTTTTGGTCATACTTTCGCGCCTCGCCAGACATACTTTTTCCTTATTATATTAATTATACATATATTTTTCAAAATTCCTATCTACAAGTCAACGAATAGTATTTATTTAAAAACATTTTGGAAATGTTTTAAGAAGTTACCCCCTAACGAAACCAAAACGTAATGAAAAAATCGAGTTCTTGGAAGTTTTACCCCGACACAACTCACTTTTAACCTGACATCAGGTTACACAATAAACACAATGAAAACGGGTTACAGGATCAAAACATCTATGAAAATGCAGAATTACTAACCAATGTTCTTAAAAACATTTACGTTGATCTCACAGTAAATTGTATAAACGTAAAATATTTATTCTCGTTTAACTTTGATTTAACTTGTTTAACAACATTAACATCACGACAGTTTTCTCAGTTATTTTCATAGATAACTTTGTTAATTTCCTATTCTTTGTAAATGATGAAAATTAATTTCAATATTGGATTTTGTAGTTCCATTTCGGTAGTTAGAATCTTAGAGATCCAATTGAAATAATTTTATGATGATTAATTAAAAAACATAAAAATTTTATTTTTCTTATTTCATCGTCACATTAAGTATTACCAACGACACATAACAAATAATACCGAGGCCTATGCCGAACGAACAGTTTGGAAACTTAGTCAAGATATCTCTGCGACGTTTAAATGGGCACTCCTGCCTTACTAAAAAGTTATTTTAAATACGTATATAACAGGTTTTTAATCATAGTATGTCGATATCACTGTATTTTGGTCCTAACAAAAATGGTTTAATTTCTATGAAATTAACTTTCACATGCAGTATGTCATTTAATATAAATAAATAACATGTATACAAAGAGTTATAAAATTATTGACAAAGGCATAACCAAATAGGAAAACCAAATGTAAAGAATTATTGCTGTACCTTTTTATTAACTTTAACATAATGTTGCATGTGATAATAAAATAAACAAAAGGACAAACGGTACAATAACATTCCAACATACTCGGTTATATAATTATCGATACATAATGAAATATCAGAATATTTCTATTATTTTACGAAGCAATAGAAGATAGTATATGTTTTGGAAAGATATAAATAAAAAACGATGTACATTTAATTATTATGATCGTTAATTTATTTCCTAGAGAAATGTTGGAAAGTTATTGTATTTAAATCTGTTTTATACATTGCTATAATAATACAGCAATACTTAATTCTTTGCATTGTTCCATCAGCGTAGGATTTGTACTATATTTCCACTTCTTTGCAATTTTTTAATCGATGCTTTTTCACTAAATTTACGTCTCTGCCAATAATTTTATAGTTTATTGTATACTTTCTATTATTAACTAACAACAGTTGATTATTTAATCGAAACCATATTGCATAAGACAATATTTTTTCACCTAAAATTGACGCACTTGATGGCACGATTATTAAAAGAAAAGCATAAATTAATCTTAATATATTTCGCCAATGATATTTAAATTTAAATTCTACAACATTTCACATAATTGATAATGATACAATAAACTTTCGTTTTCCTTATATTATAAAATCATTTTTGAGTAGCTAAAGGAAAACGATTTCTTTAAATTTACGCGTAACTAAAGGAATATAATATTTACTTAACATTTTTACGATATTTGAAATACATATTCCTATATAAACTTATTTCGTCAGGTTTTTATAATAAAGCTCACAAAGTAATAAATATTTTTTTTTACCTTTGGCGAAAATAACTTATGAATGACTGAAATGCGGCGATTATGTATTCAAAAGTCGGACAAACGGAAGCTTATTGTATCAGTTAGGCAAAATTACATTGCTATAATAAATTGTCATTAAATTATTTAGTCATTAAAGCTATAAACATTTACGTTGAATGTGTTACGAGTATTGCAACACTTGCAAAACTCGAATTCCTCTGCACGAATTTATTACATAGTTATCGTGCATCAAAACAAGTTTTCTTGAAATATTTTTGCTAGATACGTAACAGGAAACGTTACGTCATCAAGCGCGTGAAGGTACTACGATGTTTTCTTAATAAATAAATACTTCAATTGTTATTAATAGAACACAAAGGAGCTAAAGATTATTTACTGAAATAATTTGGTTGATCCAGCCAATAAATGCCGAAACCTTGACATAAACTCCAGGAACGTCCAATCTTCCGCAACCAAAACCCCACGAAACGAGTCCGGCCAGTTCATAAAATCCATCATCTTGACATACTAAAGGACCACCTCCGTCTCCCTAAATGGTACGTTATTATGACTATTACACATAACTGCGTAAACTCAGATTGAATTAATGATTTATATAGGGGGTCCCAGTAATAATGATACTGCTAATCGCGAGAAGAGGATGTTTCCTTAGGACAAAGTAAGTCGAAATTCTAAATGCTGTTTGTATAAATTCCGTTTGCTTTTCTTAATTTATTTCCTTCAGAAGTTATTTACTTTCCGATTGTATCGCAATTACCGGGACACAGTTTATATTTACTGATGGTTTATTGAAATAACTCGTTTACTTTCTCATAATGTTACAAAATTTCGTAACAGAATTAATATTTATATTAGTATTTCCAAAAGTAAATGTAAAAATTGGTGTAGTAATTTAAACATTAATTCTGAGTAACTTGAACTACGTATATGAGGTGGAATAAAATTCCCTGACACTGTTGTTTTTTCTTTTCGTAGGTGGGAGAGCAGAAAAAGGAAAAAGAAGTTAAAACACAAAACTAACGTTTTATGCATTGAGATTGTTCCATTATGTGTGGAAAACAATTTTACTTAAATGACTGCCTTCTTCTTGGTGACACAAATATGTTCTTTTTTCTACATTTGAAGTATTAAAAAAAGAAGAAGTAATATTTTCAAATGTGTTGAGGAATTTTATGCTACCGTTCAATGACGTTTCATGACACGTGTTATTAATTACACATGTATGATTCCTCTTCTAATTCACTTGAGAGAGTATAGGCTTCCTAGATTACTTTTTAGCAGAGGAGGCTATTTTTACTAATTATATTTTGCAATTTTGCAGGAGAAATGTTATTTTTTAAAATTCAAACAAAATATCATTACATCGTTTTCTTTGAACTTTTGGCATACAATTCTAAATTCTTGCTTAAACGTCATGAAACCCCATGTATATGTATAGGGGGGATATATTATTATTGTTGTTACCTGACACGCATCGTTGCCTTGTTCACCACCAGCACAAAAACTACTTGCTGGTAAAATGAAGATCTTTTCAGTCACAGCATTCACTTTTCGTATACATTCAGCATCGCTCACGATTGGTATTTCAGCTTCGCGTACTCGAAGCGGGATAGGTCCAGCTACAAATTAGATACATGCACATCTGGCATATTTTGTATTTTAAATTATACTTAACGACAGGGGGACCAATTTTTCACTTGTTACTATTTTATTATTATATTGTATATTATTATTTTACAACCGTTACTTGTAAAAAAGAAAAGAGATGGAAACCACGAAGAAATAAACCGAAAACGTAGAATAAAATGCTTTCATAAGAAGCTTAGTTTTTAAGAAATTGTTGAGACAGAGTTGGTGGAGAATCCTATATAAAAAGGCTTACCTTCTCCCATATATCCATAACCGGTAACGGTACATCGTTTGCCAGCTGTGTGACTAACCCCCCGTGCTGGTAGACATACCAGACAAACACCATCCTTAAGCTCCGCTTGGCCATGGAGTTTTAACAGTGCTATGTCGTTATCAAGAGTCTGACTATTATGATTATGATGAATATAAGTAGTTGCCACTCTCAAGGTCTGCGCCCCGGGACTTCCATATTTCCGTGTCAAATCATGATCGCCTACCCTCACATAAATTGCATCTCCAGATCTCACAATGCTGTGAACAGAAGCAGGGCAATGTGGTTATTTCAGATGTCCATTTCTCTTGCCACTTGTAATCTTGCATTTTCGTTCCATTAGTTGCAATAAAATTAGTTCCACTAAATCAGTTATTGTTTGGAATGTCGATATAAAATAGTGGTAAAGAAATTTACTTTGTTACACAGTGGGCTGCTGTGAGGACCCATTGCGTTCCAATCAGCGCACCGCCGCAAAGGTATTGATTAAGAGAATTAATTAGAGCAACCTGCCAACACCATTCATTGGCATTTGCATCTTCTCCTCCAACAACGCGTGCCCCTCTATCCAAACTACGGACTTGAATTGGACTCCGAGAAGTTCCTTTTACACCGCACACGTATTTACTGTATACAGGGCTTCTCGTAGTTGTTGCTATTGTCGTCGTGTCATCTGTGAAATCAGTATCAATAACGTTATAATTGTAAGCGATTGTAAAATAATGTGATGTACAAAAAGTTTGTAGCGACCAGCTACAGCGGAAAACATTTGGCGAGCAGACTACCAGCACAGTTTATGACGTGCGCGCTTGAAAGGCTATTTTTGAGGAAACCGTTTTTAGCTTATTTAATTTCTAAAAATTCGACAATGCATGTCCGCGTAGAAACTTTCTCCGACGGCCTCAATAGCAAATTGCCGCATCATAAACCAAGGGTTTCCGAAAGGTCAGCCGTACGAGGCCCAGAGGCCCGAACCGGCAGGTCACGAGTACTTGACCTGGAGGAAACTCAGCTGCCCGCCAAGTGACGTCAGGGGAAAAACCTCCCCCGCCAAGTCGCACTGCGGTCCCCGAAAAAGCGCGCCAAGGGCGCAAGGGACACGCAGCGACTTGGGGAGAGAAATTACCTAATTGGTTAACACCGATGCGACGGGTTAACCAATCAGGTACGATTAACAGAGAGCTAAAAGTTAATAAGAAAAAGCGAGGCGTGAGGAGGCAGTCAGGCACGGACCTCCAACGCCGACAGTCCATTTCAATAAAGATCGTGCTATACCGTGAGGGTACTTAGCGAAACCCTACACACGTTTCGTTATTTATAATAATAACCATATTCCTTCAAGTTGCAAATTTTAACTGTAGTATCAGATTAATTGTAATAAGTATTTTAAATACTCTTTTAAAGCTATTCATTTTTATCAATTCAAGTGAGTCTTCGTCAAGTAGCTCTTTAAACGTTTCGCTTTCGTTGTCGAAATGACTCTGTCCTAACTCCATATTAACAATCAATCGTCACGTTATTTGTACCGTTTCCTTATTTATAGTTTTCTAAACGAAATGTTTTTTTTTTTTTTAAATATAAGGGTATAACTTTCGATACATTTGCCACAACTTACACATTGCCGTTGTAAGGGGTGTTGTGTATGGTCTTGCTGTAACGTACATGGTGTCATTTCTGTTACTCAAAATTGGCTCGGTAGAATTTCCACCGCTGAATTCTCGTATCAACGATTTTGGTGCACAACATTGATGTCCTTGTTTCTTACACTTAAATAAATTAGTCAGTTCAGCATTTCCTACAAAAAGAACAAAACGAAATATTATTCACGTTTAACAGAGGACGATTTCCTTATGTTTCCGGGTGTTCGAGGAGTTACGGGACAGCCTGTATAAACGGCAAACCTAATGGATGTTTCGTGAAATTAGACAATAAAGGAAACGTAAAGAAATACTCACTAAAACAAGTAAATGATAGGTAGGAAACTATACACGATCCAGGGCATTCTGGGCGTGGGTCTGGTGGTAATGGAACTGCAGTAATCGACGGTCTTGTTGTGGGCCTTGGTCTTGGCCTTGAAGTCTGATACGAAGAAGACGGTGTCACTACGTTTACTGTCTACATGTCAACGTTTAATTTCAATTTTCTTTTTGCCATGGCCTCTTTTTCTATCTTACTTTCCTCTATTTATTAATTTCATTGAAAGAGTTCTATCAGAGGAAAAAAAAGAGAAGGGAAAGAAGAAATAGAATCACCTGCGGCGAGCTTTTCGTGTTGTCGCAACAAATAGATCCAGACTGACAGGTCGAAGTCTTGGCTACTATCAGATTTGGTCGTTCACAGAACGCTGCCATAATGTTCAACAGACAAAATCCGGGACACGGTTGTAATTTTGGCTGCGGCGGTTTCATAGTTGGCCGGACAGTTGTTGTTGTTACTTCCTGTTTGATCAATTGTAATTATCATTGCAACACTGTCTTAGAAAATCTTCACTTTGGTATAGTTTTATTTAGTTACCGTTTTTAAGAATGCATCGATAACACAACAAGATCCATCGTCAGGGCATTCAGCATCTCCATCCACTTTATCGCAGAGAAGAGCGAAAAATCCACTAACGCATTCACCCTTGCACGGATTTGTCACCGGAATCTTTGGCCTTATTGTACTCATTGGCTGTTTTGTCATTGTAATGGTCGTCGGTGATGTAATTGTGGGTGCACTCGAAGATATAATTGTATTTGGTCTCATGGTTGTAGAAGGTGAAGAACCTTTATGAGATGTATTAACACCAGTCTTTTCGTCGAACCGACTTGAATTCGTTCGGTCGATTACTAATAGCTCCGGCGGAGGGGAATCCCCAAACGCGTCTCTAGATACGCAACATTTGTATCCTGGCTTGCAAAGAGTGTCTATTATCAAAACTGCGTCACAGTAATCGGCGATTCTTTCTGCCATACAAATTCCGGAACACGTTTTCGCTGCAAACATGAAAGCTTTGTAATGAAATAATTATTCAGGACATTGAGCTTCATAAAATATATTCAGTTCATTGAAATCGCCGAGGTGGACCCTATTCTACACAATTACCATTATTTTACAATGTTCACTATGTTTACTCGTCAATAAGATAGGGCATTTTAATTTATCTCTTTATCCTCTATATAATAAAAAATAGAAAGATACATACTTGACGTTTTATTCGTTGTTTCCTTCTGACTTTCCTGGAAAGTAATTGAAGCATATTTATATCCTAATTTTCCTTCTTCGTTTAAGATATTTTAGGGTATACTGTTATTATAAATAAGTACATATATCGCTGTACCATAAAATTACTGCGAATTATTGTTCGTGTTAACACAAATGGAAATGTGCTAAACATATTTACTTACTTATATAAAGTAATACTTGTTTTTATAAAAGAATTATAATTTTGTAAACGTACAGAAGTAGTTTTTGGGGAAGATGTTGATGTTACAGTTGTAAGGGCTGTAGTTGTCGAGGGTGTGGTTGTGGTTGTAGCTGTCGTCACTGTCTTAACGGTGGTGAGAACGGTGGAAATAGGAGCATCGTCACTGACAGCATTTTCAGAAGTTCCAGTGCCATTTATAGGCGTCTCGATGCAACATCGCATACTAGTAGGACACTGCACATTCTCGAGAACTTCGTAACATATTAAGGTTGCGAATGCGTGTACACACACACCTGGGCAGTCTGCACTGTTCGCTGTACTCGTGATCGAGTCTAGTAAACCTGTGCAGAGATGAAGAATATCAATTTCAGAACTATATATATATTTTGTGCAATGCCTATCTCGAAAGTTTCGAAACTTTTCCCACTTTTTTCTATAATACTAATTTATTTGTATCGGTGAATTATGGTGTGTTAGTAAGATAAATGGATCAATTGTAAGAAAATCCGTTCCGAAGACGGTGAAGCGAGCCACTTGATACCAGGCCCAGCTTACACGGTGGGGGTGGCTCGCCCCTTTGGGGACTCCCAGGCCTACTTCGCGCGGGAAGCGTACAAGGATCAGCCAGAACGACGCGTCCTCATTCTTTACAAGACCACCAGACACGTACTTTGGCGAACGACGCTTAGACCACGAGATCACAGTCTTGTAGAAATACATACAGGGTGTCCCGTAACTCCTCGAACACCCGGAAATGGGGGGTTCCTGAGGTGACTCTGAACAACTTTTTCCTTTACCAAAATGTTGTTTTCGCTATCATGAACGACGCGTACGCGTGACTTCTCGGTTATCGATCGCTGTCCAAAAAATTTGACTTTGCACCGCTATTTTTATAAGGCTTAGAAAAATGGGTTTTTGCCGTCATTCCGACATTTGTATAAATTTTTGAAAAAATTGCAATTAGCGCGCGAATGAGCCTCTGATCTTTGTCCCTGAGCGCGAGCTCTGCGCGCGCTCCGATTGGCCAGTGTTTTTCGTTAATAATTCAAAAATGAAGCTTCAAACAACATTTTGGTAAAGGAAAAAGTTGTTCAGAGTCATCCCAGCAACCCCCCATTTCCGGGTGTTCGATGAGTTACGGGACACCCTGTATATTTGCGAGAATACAGAAACGTAATTTTGCATCCACCAAAATTTTTCGGCTACAGGTATTTCTGACTCCTGAATCTCTGAATCTCTTCTCCAGAATTTTTGTTAATAAGTCACCGATTAGGTAATGGTTTAGAATAACTTCCATTTCATTCAGATAGGTAGTCACGACTTCAAAGATTAATCTAATTTTATTTTACTTTCTAGACGCTCGGTGGATCTTTTGTCTGCAGAAACGGGGGGAAAAGAAAGTAATATGCGCACAGCTTAAACAAACTCGCTTGAATAGAATTTATACGTTCTTTTAGACAATAATTGATCAGACAGGTACGACTACCATGCCTATGGAAAATACGACCGCAAAGAGTTAAATGTGTTTTTAGGGATTTTACGTGTTCCTAAATTGCGCCAAAGTGTGGAGCGCGTGGTGGTATGAATTGCGAAGTTACCTGTTCTCTTGTGATGTATTCACGAATTGTAGGGCTGATTGTTTCGTGAATGAAATTATTATGTAATTCGCATAGTTCACCAGCCGCCGCTACGAATGTTTTTGCGTTATCCAAATAGATATACGAAATAGCTGTTCCACGTCTTGCGAGGAATCGTTTCAAAGCTGCTAAAAGGGCGTCTGTCGTCAGATCGCTTACTAATTCAATGCGTAAAGCCTTTGTGGCGAAGGAAACAAATAGGGCTATGTAGGCTTCAGCTGCCTTTGTATTACGAACTAGTTTTTCCTTAATGAAGACTGGTCCACAATAATCTACTCCGGTTGCTAAAAATGGACGGTTGAAGGTAACGCGGTTTATGGGGAGGTTGTCCATCGGGTAAACTGATATACAGGGTGTCCCAATTTTTTCCGATCAAACTTTCTTAATACGTTCTTATGTCAGTATGTATAACTTTTTAATAAACCGTCAAATGACTTATGTTTATGTAACACTCTTTTCTTTCGTGTACCCATAGAACATACTGACAAATTTTGATCGGAAAAAGGTGGAACACCCTGTATAGTCCTGGCCGCAATACGTGTAGCATGGCCGTAGAAGTGAATAGTAGCAATAGTGTCTAACAAGTTGTAAGCGTTTAAGAAATTTAGCAATCCTAGGACCTTAGAATTGTACAGTAATGGAATAAGAAAGCTTGTATCTCATTGGGAAAATCGTATAGATTGTAACAGTTTTCACTTCGATCAAATAAGTTTAATGTAGGCAATGTTATGTAACTTTAAATATTAGTAGAAAAATTGAATAGCACACTAATAGAACGTGAAATATTTATAAACTGATAATTCAGACACGACTATTATTTTCTATTGCATTGCGAAACTTACTCACGAAACATTTTTACCTATGATAACGAGTTACGCGTGTATCATAAATTCAACATTAACTGTATATTGGATGCAAGTGTAAGGGTACCGTGAGTCCAGAGGAATTCCTGCATACGTAATCTGCCGGCCCACATAAAATAAAATAGTAAAGGTGACTGTTCACTGAACTTGATCTTGGCAATCAGTGGATCTCAACTGGAACATAATTACCCATTGAATTTCTTTGGTTTTTTAAACAGTTCTTTCGAGTTGTTTTGTATCCAAATCGCGTTAATTTTCATATATAATAAATAAATATTATTTACTATGCTTGACCCAATTCGCGAAAATGCCATTTCGCTCCGTTGACATTCATCGCAATGCGAAGAGACCAGTTTACGATATCGATCGCTAATGAAAAATAAAAGTTAATTTTACATCGAAAGGATTGATTTTAAGACCTATATTAACTAGACATTTTTTATTGCTCTCGGTGAGTACTATAACTCTTGTAAGTCGTGGATCCTTTATTACCCTGATATTCACGTACGATGCGATATATTCAATATTGACGTATTTGGTGCCATTGAAGGAACTGCACAGAAAGTAAATCAACATTTTGCGGTTTCAGGCTCCTTATGCTCAGTACACAGGAGCTACGTCGATAAACACTCATTCATCAATCGGCTGCGGCATCGGAATCGAATCGCACATTATTTTCTTACTGATTATTATTTCGTCGAATTACCTTTCACTGTGAAAAATGTAATCAATTTTTGCATACTAGTAAAAGATAACGCTTGCTATTTGTTAATGCTGTTGTTAGATCTTTAAACGAACTCAAAGCAGCGGTTTCCAATCTTTATGCTACTCCCCCCAAAAAAAATTTTTTTCCGCTCCTCCCCACCTTTTATTTTTTTAATAGATACAATAACATAGACACGTTTTAATTTTTTATTAAAAAATTTTGGCGCCTCCCCTAGCAAAATAGACCGCGCCTCCCAGGTTGGAAACCGCTGCCTTAAGGCGAAAAGTAAAACATGCTCGCAAAATTTTTCCATTAAAAGCTGGGAAATTGTATGTAATTCCTTTTAAATTTCGTTACAAGTAAATGAATATATATATTGAGTTTTAGATTTATCTGTTTGAAAGTTTTAGTAAAATTTTACATTAATACAGATTTATAAGAGATATAGAAATTGTTTTCGAGAATAACCTACAAAAACTAAGTAATTGTACGACTGAATGTACGACATCGCGATTGTATGTTCCAGTGCTGTAGATTCAAACCTTGATACAAGTGTTTTACGGGGCAATGCTTTTCAAGAAATACCGATTTCGTCACAATTATAAATATAATCTAAGTCAGAACCTTTTGACCAAATCGGAACAAATTCTTTAACCGCAGA